GCTAAAATAATTTTTTAAGCTCGTATAGTTTAACTTAATTTACTTTTTAATTCATGTAATTTAAAATATACATTTTTAAATATATATATATATATATATATATATATATATATATATATATTTTTTTTTTATTCTTCGGTAGTTGTTAGTTTTGTACCATATGATATGCTTCACAAAATATTTGTTGATGTTTTCATTTGAGATAAGAAAATAATAGCTGATGATTAAGCAAATTATTTATTACTTTTCTAAAAGATAAACAATAATTGCTTTAAATAATTTCAAATCTTTTACTTTTTAGTTTTTGTCTTTCATTTTCTGCTCACAATCTTAGTCTTTACACAGTATTGTAGTTAAATTGTTATTTTCATCTGATTATAGACGCTTGTGGCTTTTTACAGTATTATACGACATCAATCCTAGTTATGTATATAGCCACGTTCTACTTCTCACTTGAAATAGAGTTTTCTGCTACCATGAATAAAATTTCACCTTCAAATTATGTTGCATGGACACAACATGGGACTGTCATGTTCCCGAGTCTTACATTCTTTAAGAGCAGACACATCGTGAACGTACCTCAGACACTTTGACAAATTGCATCTATACAAATTGGACATGTCTCCATCATGGACACCTACAAAATCGTCATTGCGAACACCTGCAAATGAATACGCCTCCATCTCGATATACTATTCGATGCGTGGATTTGAGATTTTTTTTAAAAAAATAAATCTCAATAAAAACAAAAATAAAGAAGGGATGATTTGAGATTTTTTTTTTAAAAAGAAGAAGAATAAATCTCAATAAAAGCATAAACAATAAAGGGAGAGTTTGAGATTTTTTTTTTAAAAAAAATCTTTAAAAATAGAAACAAAATAAGTAAGATTTGAGATTTAAAAAAAAGAAAAAAATTTGATAAAAATAGAAATAATAAAGAAAATTATTTTATCTCTTCTTACTTAACTTTCACGTAATAGAAAAGAAATTTTTTTAATAAAAATAAAAAATAATGAAAGGAGGATTCGAGATTTAAAAATAAAATTTTGAATATGATATTTTTTAATAATTTTTTTTGAAACCTAATAAGTTACTGTTATATTAATATATTAATATTTTTGTCATGTTATTTATATTATATATTATATATATGTCGTGTTCATATGTCTTATATTTTCTTATTTTGTCGTATTTCTATATTGTGTCTTGGTGTCGTGTCCGAATTCGTGCAACATAGCCTTCAAAACATATCCTCTTTGAGCCCCTTTGTTCTTGTATGCTTGGCTGAGATGAGATGACACATTATTTCATAGTTTATATGGAGAAAACTGGCTTAACATTTAGTCTGGTTGATTGAATAAATAAATTTTAATGTATGACGATAGCATGTTTTCTGATTTATCTGCTTTCTTTGTCCAACACTCCAATTCATATATTCAAGCTAAAGCACTAGCTTTGACATTGACATATCAACTACTTAGTCAACATACTCTTCCATCTTTATTTTTGTGGATTTAGCCTTTTGCTCGAGTTGGTTTGTTATGGATCAATATTGGCCTTAGTTTCCCTTGGTTTTGAGATTGATTGCCATGCACGGAGCTTTCTTTGTCTTACTAAGATAGTTTAACTCAGTTGGTCGAGTATGATGTGTGAAAATTGTAAAATCTCTTAATACCTGTGTTCGATTACCATAAATAAAAAAAAGAAGTCTGTAACTATCATTGAGTTTGGGTTTAGTATTGACCACTTTGGGTTTAGTTTGTAGCTTTTGAGTGACTGACATGAATGAGCACCAATATTTACAAACTTTTCTTTACGTGCATTTTGTTAGGAAAACTTCCATAAAAAAGTTTACAGGAGGAGGAATAAGGGGGAGAACAGAATATTAGAGTCCCAAGGAGTGGCCAACAATAATTACCACCTGATAGACAATTAATTGTAACAGTCAGAAAAAAATAAATAGGGACTGTTTTTCTGTTCTACCCTCTCCTATTATAAACATTTTTATGGTTGTTTTATGCACAGACCTTTAATATTATTGTACAATTAATATTAGAGTTTTACGTTAGTAATTAGCACAAACCTTTTTTTTTTTTTCCGTAGTTTATCAAGGTGAAATTCCTATTTTGATCGAAAAATACCACAAATATAAAATACCTCAAGGAACTGCACCCCATTAACTTCCATCATCATGGTCCTGAGTTCGATAATGTAATTCCTCAAATACAATCCTTCACCTAGATGTGATGCTAAAGCTAACTGAACTAAAGAATTATTTTAATAAGCAATTTATATCTTTATGTATATTTTATATTATCACTATCGAATTTCTTTGTTTGTATAGAACATAAGATACCTCTTTCAATACCTACTGCTGTCCTACGATTGAATGCAAATGCTGCTGGGTTTTACAGCCTTGGATATCTTAGATTAGTTGGAGAAGTACTAAAAGGTTATGAACAATTTGTTCAAAACCAAAGATAATCAGTTGAAAGAGACGAGAAGCTAATGAAAAAGGAAATGTGATTTCAACTGAAGTTTCAAGCTGCAACCAATCCATCGTATGGCATACTGCAAGCAAGTTCAAGCATTGCCTCCTTATTTTTACTTTCAAGTTTCAAATACATTACAATCTCATATTCATTAGTACTGTTATATTTCTGTATTTACTTAGGTTGGTTGATTTGATATAAATCATATAGTAAATGAAAAATTAGTTGTTTAACGTTATTTCATTGATATAATATAGTTAATTGGATGGCAACAATCTAATCCAGTTTAACAAAGTGTTGGTACTTTTAATGTGATAATAATATTAATGATAAGCTTCTCATTTTTTAAACTTTATTTTCTACATTTGATCCTTCAAGCTTAGGTGGCTTTCGTTTCCATTTGTAACGTTAAGACTATTCATTTTATTTTGCAAAGATGCAAAATGCAAACATAATTACATAAGCCAATGATGAAGAATTAGGCTGAAAGATTTGTAACTGGTCCACACCTTTTGAGAATGTTAAAAGATGTATAGATGCATTAGGTTGCAAAATTGTATTTATACAATTTCTTTGTACAAAATGTTGTACTACAAAGAGAGATAGATATATGAAGACAATATAAAGAGAAGTGTGTGGTAGATTGGTTGATCTGGTGAAGAGAGTTGCAAAAAACAAAATGTAATATTGTACAAAAATGTAAGAATTATTGTATAAATAATATAACTCCATCAAGTTTGTGCTACTGCATCATTGGTTGATTTCACAACTCAATTATGTGTTTCTTGACTGATCAAAAGAACAACATCTAGTGTTTTGCCTCATTCATTGGAGGCTTTTATCATTTATTTAGAATTTTAACCTATTAGAACGTAAGTTATGTTATCTACTATACTCCTTGAATTATTATTATTATTATTTTCACATGTTGTTCATTACTTGGGATTCAAATTCAAGTTTTAACATTTTGAAGTACTATGAAATGAATTAGAACACATTACCAACTCAAGATTTCCACGTACTTAATTTCTCATATATCACTTCTTTATTCTTCATTCATTCATAAAATGGAGGTGTTTTTCCATTGCAAATGATGTAGTAACACATCACATAACAACACCAAAATCATTTCTGTTGCTATACATCCAAGTTCATATTTGGTAATAATTTTTTTAATAATGATCTTTTAAAAATTTCTCTCAAAGGTTATAAATACTTTAGAAAAAAATAATTCGAATATGTTTTCAGTGTATACGAAAAGGACGATGTTGCCTAATTCACTAAAAAAATGCTATAATTTTTTTAATATACCCTTTTCAACCTATTGTTTATTATTAGATGAACACGATAGAGAACAAGACTAGTTACATTATTTAATAAATCTCATAAATTTTATCAAATAATTAACTAGAATATATTAAAGGAAGTATATCATTAGCGACCACCATATATACATCATTTATGGCGAGAATGCTCATCATTCTTTATTTGATAAAGGCACGTAAGTTTATCTTAATAGGTTGCCATTGCAGGGTAACGTCTAAAGCTTACTTTCCAAGGATAATTATATGAATATATGAAAGTGGAAGTACCTGTCTGCTAGTGGAACTCCTCCATTGGCCAAGGTACTTTTTTTTCTTATGAAATCGTACGTGTTCTAACTTCTTATGTTATAAATTATATATATGATCACTACTTTGCCAAAAAGTGATGGGTCCAGCCATAGAAAAATATTGTGGTAGGTTTTCATGAATACACATGAAACCAGAACGGCCCGTTCTGAAACCAGAACGGTCAGTTCTAAAACCAGAACGGCCCGTTCTACTTGCACATGTTATGTGTTAATTTTGCAACTGGAAATAGTCGTTCCAAATGCAAATTTAACACATCATGAGTACAGTAGAACGGACCGTTTTGGATTCAGAACGGCCCGTTCCAGAACGCCAAATTCATGCATACGTTGACAAAAATGCCGCAATGTGATTCAAAAATTGAAAATAAAAATTCATAACATATCATAAATTCAAAGACATAAACATGGTTCAGAAACTGAAAACAAAAATTCAGAACATAACATATACTAAAAAAGTTCAAAGAAATTACTGAGAAAGGAAATCATCTGGGTAACGCTAAAGGGAAACCCTAAACCACAAAAATTTAGGTTGTACCTCCTCAAAAATAGGTTGTTATTGTTAAGGTACATCGTTAATGACTTCAAGGGGAAACACCGTCTCATTTCATCCTTGACTGTATAGCCCAAATGTTTAGCAATTGAAGTTATCAATCCCCATTGACAATATTACCAAATCTAGTATTTGAAATGCTTTGTACCTTGGGTTTTTTTTCTTGCACGATTCACAACCGTGAAATATAAGCATTGATCATTCTGGACCAAAACGGCCCGTTCTGAAACCAGAACAGCCCGTTCTGGTTACACTATTGATGTGTTAATTTTGCATTTGGAACGGCCCGTTCCGGGTACAAAATTAACACACCAAGAGTGCAACCAGAACGGGTCGTTATGGTTCCAGGTGTATTCAAGAAATTTGGCATCCAGACGCATCTACGTGACATCTACGTGGCATGCACCTGACATCCACGTGGCCAACAGTTAACTCCGTTTAAATCATTTTGACGGAAGTCCCAAATTGCAATAATTTAAATTATTGGGAACCAAATTGAAACCAAAAATTAAAGTGGGACTAAATTGAAACAAAAAAATATTATAAGGGACTTAAATATATATTACAATACTTTTTATCCCTCTTTTAATTATTTAATTGGCTCAACTTTTTAATTGGTTTAGTTTAATTTTTTTACTGTTAAAAAGATTAATTTAGTCTTTAATTTTAAAAAACGATACAAAATTATATTTTCTATTCTATTTAGACTAACTAAAAGTTTTAATTCATTATTTACTTTATGACACGTGTATGGTTTTTATAACGACACTGGTGTAACTTTTACTAAGTGTTACACCGCTCAATAACTTTATATTAAATGTGAATTTTGTAAATCCAACCGTTAGATGGAAAGTTCATATCTCTTAGATAATATATGTCAAATTTTGTTAAAATTGAACAACAACTTGAAGGTAATCAAAGTGTTCATATTTTAATATATTTTGAAATGTATATATTACATCAATTTTGTTTTATGAGAATGACGTATCAAATCATCTTAGATTAATATAAAATTTGATATATATGATCTAAGAGATATGAACTTTCAATCTAACGGTTGGATTTACAAAATTCACATTTAATATAAAGTTATTAAGCGGTGTAATACTTAGTAAAAGTTACACCGGTGTTGTTTGAATCCTCCTATTTTATTTGTGTCACATGTAAAAAATTAACATTGTTAGTATAAATCAGATGAAAATAATAATATTACATTATTTTTAAAATTTATAGTCAAAATAACCAATCAAATAAAAAAAAAGAAAAAATAATTTAACCTTAAATATAACTCAGAATTTTTTAAGGTTTTTATTTCACTTTAAATAAAATTTACTATATCACATCATTTTTAATCAATTTATATTATATTTTACAAGTTTTTCTCTAATAGATAATTCTTATAATTAATCCACACTTTTATAATTTTTTATTTAAACATTATTTTTTTACAATTTAAAAAATATTTTAATTATTGTAATTAAATATTAATTTTATTATCAAACTAAGGATTGATAAATGATATCAATGACTCCTTTCTTTTGAAATTGGTATCAAGTTGTTTTATTTATTTTGATTTTTTACTTTCACTCTTATAGTTTTAATATTTATCTTTTTTTCCTTCCCCAACCCCAAAATCTTTCTCTCCCAAACCTTCTCAAAAAACCTTTTCATTTCTAAGCTAGTCCCTTTCTCCTCCCCCTTTCCGTTGGGGTGTTTCATGAATCACACAGAAATCATTTTCTTGCACACGGAGATCATTTCCTTCCTCTTACTTCATTGGATCCATGTGTAGATCAAGTCCATTTCTTTGTTGGGGTTTAATGCTCTTTCTTTCTAATGCATATATGGTACCATATGTTGATTTGGGTTTTCAAGTTTTATCTCAAATTTTTATTTTTTTCAATTTCAATATTCAATTTTATTTTTCCAGATTTTGTATTGGGTTCCATTTCAAGTTTCAATTTTTTTCCCATATTTTATATTGTTGTTATTTTACTTTATTATGATGTATTTTGAAATTACTGTATCTATTGAAGGTTAGAGTTTTGATCTTTTTTTGTTCAAGTTTCAATTTTTTTTTTGTTTGGGTATGTGATTCCTCTTCTTATATGATAATATCATTTTTCTCTTAATGTTTGTTTGTGATGTTAGTTAGTAGACCTTGAACTAAAGAAATATTTTTTTTTATTATTTTCAAGCAATTCAATGTATCACATAATTAAATTCAAGTACAAATTGTTTAGAAGCATCGATTCTTGATGGTAATATACAACACAAGCAATTCGTGGTGGAGATGCTCTTAATTCAAAATGATCCAAAAAAATTACAATAAAAATGTTTTTATTTTTATATTTATATTTATTTACTTTTGAATTCAAAGCATTTGTTTTGTGAGACAATGTTTATTTTAACATTTGTGGATCTCACCTTTTGTCAATAAAAGGTGTTTTAATAGATTAAGAAAAATGGATATTTATAAACTAAATTTCACCTCCATTTTCAAGTGACGCGTAATATTTGTAGTTTCAATAAATACATAATTTCATTTCTTGTCCCCTATTATCATTATTTCTTGAATTTGGTCCCCATTTTAAAATTCTGCAACTAAAACCAAACAAGTAACAAGGATAATGATTTAATATTTTGACGTGTCTCATTTGTCTTTCATGGCAGTATATGATGTGGGTGTATTTGAAAAAATAAAATAAAATGCTTTTTGACCAAATAAATAAAAATTAAAATCTTATCATATGAGTAAAATTACAAAAGTTATAATTTTTATTTGTCACTTTTACGACATAGTCGTGTGAGGCAAATCACGACCACAACTATGGAGCAAGTTAAACATAAAAACATTTATCTCTTAAAGTTATTAGAGTTTTGAGTAGGGGAAGATGCGCTCATAATATAAGACACTAGTGTTCAATTTTTGTCTTATTTCTAAGTCTTTTAAAAAATTCATATCAGTAATTAAGACATATAAAATACATAATTATATCACATCATTTCTCAATCAAGTGACATCAATAACTCGGATATAAGTGAATTGAATTATAATTGGAATTTTTCATATTCCAAAAGTATTTAATTATAAAAATATAATTGATAAAAATAGTGAGAGAATTCTCAAATTATTTTTAATCTTGATATTCATACTTTACAATATCAAATTAAGATCAATAAATATTAAGGTAATTAAAGAAAAAAATATATATAAAAAAATATATAAAAAAAATATATATCAATTTCAATCTCGTTAAACAAAATCTCAAGTTCAAGTCTTTTATATGAAAAAAAAAACATGAATGAAAGGAGAAATATTATTTCCCTCTAAAATTCACAAGCTAAATTTTTTTACAAAGATTAATCATCAATGAAATGGATGAATACATCATACTAATAATATGGTTAAAAAAATTGAAATTAATAAATAAAATAATAATAATACAAATAAAAAAGAAGAATATAAAAGATAGAAAATAATTTATCTCAGTTATATTTACACTGAATCCCATATAATCGATCCTCAAATTACACTTGGAGATTTTTTTTATTAATTTATAAGAGTTTGCTGTGAAACAAGTTTGTTTTTATTTTTTATTTTTACATTAAATACTTAACTTTGATAAATTCACCCATGACACTCCTCATATTTTCACTTTAACTATCCATTAGGTATCGCAAGAAAACTCTCCTTGCAAATATAAATTAACACCTAAAACCACTATGGAAACCACCCTTAAATTTTCATAAACAAAAAGGTCAAAGACTATCAATACTAAAATATAAATTAACAAATTGAAACACAATATTTGGCTCTTAATTTTCTTTGAGTCTCGTCTTAATAATACAATCCATTTCTCAATAAATTTTCTCAAAATACATTTTTTAATATATTTTTTTTGTTATTACGTTGGAATTAAGTGGTAAAATTTAGGAGAGATTCCTAACGCTATCAATAAAAATAACTATTTTTTAAATCAACATTAAAAAGATATTTTTTCTAAAAAACATTTAAAATCATTTAAAATTCATATTTGGTCAAGGAATCGATTCCTTTGAGAAAAGAATGTAGTGCATATTTGGTTTCCATTTTGTAAATTAATTTTGTCTTCTTTCTCCATGTCGAACAGTAATTTTACGTGAAAGTTATTATTTATTGCTTCCAATTGAACGTGATTTTTCACGTTTGAACTCCAATCCAAACACGCACGTATTCCTTCAAAAATCAATTCATTTCCAAGGGAGTTGATTCACAGCAAATAAATAAATAATGTCCGAAAATCGATTCTATCACATTATAACTTAATTCTATGTCATTCAACCAGTGTCAACTAAGGTTAAAAATTCTATTAGGTTTAGAAGAATGGAAAGAAGAGACTTTATGGAAATAAGATATTCCTTTTTTTTGTTGTTTAATTCAAAAGAAAAAATAGAGAAATATTAAAAATGAATTTATTCTCATACTCTTATAATTTTAAATTTTAAAATATAAATAAATACATTTTAAATATTATACTCAAAATATTATATAACCCACTGTCTTCACTCTAAAATCTTTAATATTAAAAAAAATTAAAATTAAATGAAATTGAATATCGCTTCCTTCCGTCCTTTTCTATAAATTGAACCAAGCAACAATTATTTTTTAAAAGAAAAAATCTTTCTCCTATCCTTTCTTTCTTGTCTAATTTTTTTCCCATCACGGTGTAAAAGAACCGAACACTAATTATTAATTGAGAGTAAAAAAAATGAAAGAAACATTTTTTATTACTTTATTTTGTATTTTCATTTCCTCATTAGTTAATACATGGATTTTGAAATAAAATGAAAAAGAGTAAATGTGTAAAATAAATTATTGATAAATAATTGTTGACGCTGTTATGTAAGAGTCCCAGCTGTGAGACGGGGGAATATTCGGAAATAGAGAGAGAAAGGACGGTTGCATTTGCATTTGCATAGAGAGAGAGAGAGAGAGAGAGAGAGCGCAGGAAGGTGCAGAGCAAAGGGGAGCGCAAGCGCTTAGTCAACACAGAAAGCGTTTAACTCTTTTTCTTTTATTTTCTTTCATTTCTTTCTTTCTCCGATCGCATCGCCATGCCTTCTCGAAGAAGAACTCTCTTGAAAGTCATCATTCTCGGTGACAGCGGGTTCGTTTCTCTCTCTCTCTAGGGTTTACTTCTCAGTTCTCACACAGATCTCTTCTCCCTTCGCGCTTTCCAACCACTTTCTCAACTCTCACTTCAATTATTCCATTCCGCTTATTCCTTTTCTCACTTAATTGGACGATATTGTCAAAATTATTTATGCTTCTCTTCGGATCGCAAGAACCGTGCCTTCTGTTACTTTAATCTATTGCTCAATTGCAATCCTGCTTACTTGATTTACGCCTTGCAGAGATTTACTGTTTCTACCGTTTATTTTCTCTTTTGAAAACACTCTGTAATGTTGTTGATGCTTCGCAGGGTGGGGAAGACGTCGTTGATGAACCAGTATCCTTCGCTTTCTGTCTGGAAACGCCGTCTGCATTGCTTCTTACTTTAATCTTCGATGCAATTTGTTTCCGTCTTGTGTGCAGGTTAGGTATTTTGGATATGGAAACTGCGTGTTTTCCCTAACGTGTGTATTTTAGATATGTGAATAAGAAGTTTAGTAATCAGTACAAGGCGACTATTGGAGCGGATTTTTTAACCAAGGAAGTGCAATTTGAGGATAGGCTTTTCACCTTACAGGTTTGTGAATAGTGTTTAGCTTGTTTCTATTTTTGGTGTTAGAAAGGCTTAGGCCCAAGTGGAGGGCAAAGGTTGCATGGTCTTATCATGCACCTAGATATAGTCAATCTAAACCCAAAGATTCCATCCTTGGCCACCAAGTTGCATCTAGGGTTCATTTGCATTTCATTTGGTGTGCATTTGGCTTGTGAATTTCGTCCATGCACTCTCCAAATGCAACCCTAGATGCCTCCCACTCCTATAAATACCCTAGGCTATGCATCATGTAAATACTTTGGATTATATGAATTTGAGTGAGCATTTTTGCCTCAAATCCTCTCCTTAGTCACTAGGTCAATTCGGCCTACCTCTCTTATCTCCTCCTTAGAGTGAGTTTAGGGATACCTTGAATGGCCTTCACCTCCACTTAGTGAAGAGAGCCAACTAGAACACCCAAAACACCATCCTCCCTTCATCTCTCATATTCGCCCAAATCAACCCATTTACGCCCACCTTCCTTTTGCCTCACCCTTGAAGGAACATCCACCCTCTAAGGTCACCATCTTGGCCTTGGAAAGGAGATTCTTCCCACCTTGGACGTCCATGATCAACCCCTTGGTGGAAGGAGTCCATCAGTTATACTTTTTTGTATATCTCTCAAATGCATTCTATTTTTTTTTTTAAACAATTCTATTATAAAACATTGAGTCCGACGTGCATATGAAAATCGAGAAACGGTTAATGTTCAAAATATAGGACTTATATCTATGTGTGTATATATATAATTAACATGAAAGAAATTTAAATTGAGAATTAAGACTTATATTATTTTTGTGAAAGTTGTTAAGCTTTACAATTTTTATACAATAATAATCCTTAAATAGTTAGAAAATGAATCATGTTTCTTAAAAGACGAAATAATTAGTAATTCTTATGAAAATGAATTTCACATAATAAAAAAAAATATTATGAACTTTATTTATAAATAAGTTGACTTAATTTTCTTTTTTTATATATAATAATAGTGTTAAATGTTTAATTAAGAATATATGTTGAATTACTGTTTAAACTTGTGTTCAACTCATAAAAAATGTGTCTAAATTGTGTTAAAAAAGTGTTATAAGTATCGATTGTTTTTATTTTTATTTTTAAAATTTTGACACATTAAAGAGTATCTATTTTCGAAGTGTGTACGACAAGTATATATCCGAAATGTATTAGACATGACAATACAACGTTCTGCAGTTGTATATTTGCTTCATTTGTTAGTCTTGAGATTCCCTCGAGTCCCGTTTAAGTGTTTAACACTACTGCTTCCTCTACCATTTTACATTTACATTTACGCTAGCGTTGTACATGTATTCAAAAGAATTGTTTATGCATACATTACATCTTATTTTTCTTTGCTAAACTTGTATAATTTGCGATATGAAGCATCACTTTATCCATCTCTAAAGTGAAAACTTAACTTTTTTCGAGTGGTCTATAATACAAATAAATTATGTTACGTACACGGTACATCAATATGGTGGTAAAATAATATACTCAAAATCTTATCTCTTTCGCTGTCATATACTTTTTTTTTACGTGAATTTGATGTAATGGAGAATCAACTAATTTTAATGAGTGGGAACACATTGCTTGCCATATGAATTTATTGGAGAGATTTCACTCTCCACTCCCTGAAGGGACACATTTGCTTGTATGGCTCAATGCAAAAGCCAACCACTATCGCCATGACTAGTTTTCAGTTTCACTACGAAAGGCAAGTTTGTATTTGATGATTGCTGTTACATTTGGCGTTTTTTGTAGTGGAGATTTTCAATTAGAGCGCAAACAGTTCTGAAGAAAACAACACGTCCCTCAACTTTTTACTTTAATTTCTAACCAAGTGCTGTCCCCATTTTCATCTTCTTTCATGATGTTGGTCATAGTAGGTCTTCTTTTCCGTTTGTGGAAACACATGCACCATGCACTTAGTCAAATGCTTGGACTAATCATATATCACATCATATAATTATAAAACACTTTATTTCGTGTATGAACCATATTTGCTAGCTTCATATATTTAAATGAAGGATTTGAGCTCAAAAATGGTTGTCTTGTGAAGAGAAAAAATTTATCATGGGATCATTTGTCGGACACACAGTGCAAGGGTCTGCATTAGCCCTTCTTGGATTATGGCACACCATCAACACCATTAGATCTTACCTTGTGAAGGGCCCTGCCAACTTCACTGTGAGATTCTGGTACCAGTTTAACACCCCTCAGTCTAGACTCAAACACTTGGAGCTTGTTTCCATTCTATCCTTTTCAATCCTTGCAATTTTCATGCAAATTCTAGACTTCCCTCATTTCCACTATGCTTTCAAGCTTGATAACTTTGAGCATGCAACTATGTTTATACACCTTGCTTTGTTTGCTGGCTTCTCACTCTCCACCGAGTTGACTGATTCACTTGACCTCTTCTCTGGCTTTGTTGGGATACTTGCATCCTCAGTGTTCAGTCAAGAACTCTTCCTTCTCCATTTTCACTCCACAGACCATGTTGGACTAGAAGGCCATTACCACTGGCTGCTTCAGCTCATAGTGCTTGTCTCACTTGTATCAGCTTTGGCTGCAACCATTTTTCCTAACAATTTCAATGCGGCTCTTGTGCTTTCCATTTCAGTCATCTTCCAAGGATGTTGGTTTATAAACATGGGGTTTATGCTATGGATTCCAGCTTTTGTCCCTGAAGGATGTGTAATGAATTTGGCCAAGATAAGTGGCCATGAAGTCCTTGGAGCAGTTACTTGTGGCTCCAAAGAGGCTGATTTTAGGGCCAGGGGATTGGCCAACTTACAATTCAGTTGGATCCTTTCTACAATTCTGATATTTGCCGGAATCATTTGCTTGAAACTTGCTAGAAAATGTACCATTACAACAAACCGGTTGGAATATGAGAGAATTCAAACTAAAGGTGCAGAGTCAGCTTTGGCCAATGAAGGTTTCAAGCAGGCCAGATAAACTACCACAGTTTGTTAAACAGGCCTGATGCTTGCATTTTTAAGGTCTCAAGTGTATATAAGAGACCTGAGTTTATGTAATACAATAACCTTCAGCGTACTTTATTCTAGCCCAAGTTTAAATAGATGTCCAACAATCTGTTGGGTTTTATAACCTGTCAGGAAATCTTCAGCTATCTATATAATGTTGGTAGACTTTAAAACTGTCTAGAGTCTATTAAGTTACTGCTCTTTCTGTTGTGGACTCTTTCACTTAAAAATGTAAGAAGCATAATATCTTCAGATCTTGATTGCTTCACAAATTCCCTAATTTTATAAGGAATTAAGGATGTTTCTGTTTATCAGTTGACAGTTTAGTTTTGTTTGTTGTATTGATAACCTTTGATAAAAAACCATGAGGTTTTTCTTTTGATCTCTTGTTGCAAAATTTCTGATAATCATTTGTAATTTAGTTACATAAAATGCACTTCTGACTTCTGAGGGAGATGCAGTAACTGTACCCATTTCCCAAATTGAGAAAAATGAAAGCATACCAATAAAATTGTTAAATTGATTTCTTATATTATATTTACAGCAAACTTTCAATAGGGAAGTCTTCAAGTTGTCTAAAAAGAACTTTTGTCATCTCCGTAGTGTTTATGCTAGAAACCAGACAACATTGTGTATAAATTCTTTGTTTCCAAATGAAAATTCTTGTTATAAACAATTAGGAGAAAACATATAAAATATAATAAGGAATTATACACACTTGATGCTTTAAACATGCCATCTTACCATCTAGATCGTGAATTTAACAACATTGGTTCTAGCATCAAATTGGTTCACCAATTGCATAAAAATTAAGTTCATATTTGTCCAACTAAAAACAAAGTGGAATTTAAGCCCACAAGCAAGTTCAGATTCCAATCCAATCAATAGAAGTTGTCCAAAGTAGAACAAGACAAATGGCTAAAGTGAAGTAGTCTAAGTTACATGACTGTGAATGCAACGAAGTATGGATGAATATGGTTATCATTCCATAAGAAAATGGAAGAAACCATTACATGAGAAAATTATAAGCATTAACAATTAGCTAGTCAAAAGTCCAAATCACTGGCATCACAATTGTGTGTTCATCCCCTCCTAGAACATAGTACATGCACTCGAAACATTCTTACTATTTGGTCTTCCCCTGATATAATTTCACATAGGCACGTATCATATTTTGTCATCTTGTTCCTTCTACAAAAGCTCAACCAACCTTTGACGCATACTCTACCATCTAGCCACCTACAGACTTCTCCTGACACTTCCAAATATCTTTTTCGGATGGGTGCATGTTGTGCCAAGCTCAGATGATACTCTCGTAACTCAATTTCTTGAAAATCCTGTTGTAACAAAGAAAGTACACAGCTGTAATTTCAAATTCTCGAGACAAAACCAATTAATACAGATAAATGCTCCTAAGATATAGTTGTCAAAATGATAAGTAACTATTAGTATTATTATACCCGGCGTTGGCAGCATCCGCAACAAAAGAGGGTAACCTTTTCATGAAAAGTGAGGGAAAAGTCTTTAATGACATTTCCTGGAATGTGCTGCAATAGGGAGGGATCAAACCATAAGTCAAAAGTAATGTAGATGGAAGAAGGAACATGCAATAATTGTGATTTATGAAAAACTGAAATTGCAACAACGTGGCTTAAACAGGTCAGAAAATTGAGAATCATTGAATTAACATTTTTAACTTGAACATAATAAATTAGAGATTAAAAGTGCTTACAATTCAAAGGAATTTAGTTAGCAATGAGAAGTAGAAGGTAGGAACAAAGGCTTAAGCAAATGGACTTACTCATCTAACATGCTCCAATGTCTTAAAAGCCAACATTTATATGCAAGTTAATAAAAAAAACAAAAAAAAAAACAGAACAGAACAGAACTAGAACAAACCAGATAAGAATTCTAACCAATTCATTGCGTCTACTTTTGTAGAGTTTTGCTTCAAAATATGGATTCTCCGGCTGAATATACATTTCTGGATCAAATTCATAGACTTCAAGAGGACCTTCCACCCTGGGGGTAGAACTTGATTCAGTCTCTCCTAAGCCAGATAAATCAGTAGTTAAAGGTTGATTCTTGCACTCACAAGTCATAATACAGAAATGTGAAAAAAAACAAAATCTAGTTTTCAACATGAAGCTAAAACTTACTTTTGCAAGCTCTAAGATAACTTCGACCGATGCTTCCAGCACTGTGCTCTTCTTCAATCTCTTCTTCCATCCCTGAATCCTCATCACTACCATTATCATAGGCACTGTCATCTTCGTCATCACTATCATAGTCCTCATCTTCACTATCTTCCTCATCCTCTATCTTACCCTCCTCAACTTGTTCATGTTCTTCCTCCTCTCTCACCTCCATCTCATCAACTTCTTGTGCTTCTGCTTCCTCTTCTACATTCTCCTCCTCCTCCATCTTTACCACAGTCTTTTCACACTGTGTTGATATTTCAAGGATTAATACCTTGAACTCATTGCTTCCATCATACTCAAAGACCAGAAAGTCAGCTTTTCCTAAACAGTTTTCTTCTTGGAAAACCTTCCACCCATCATCAAAGTATAACTTCTCTCCAATACGACCCGTTTTGACATGCCAAACTCTCCCACCACAATTTCTGAGTATGACATCCTCAGGGATCCTTCCTTGCATGTTAATCAACCTCACAAAAGAATTTGGGATAAGCTACAATTTGAGAGAGAGAAAAAAAAGTTGTAAGCCTCTTATGTAAGCAGAAGATCAATGTTACTTTTGATACTATTATATGATAATTTGATAATGTTTTGAAATCAACAATTGCATTGGTAAATTACACTTATAAAGCAATATAATCATAGGGTCAAATTGGTTAAACTTCTCTGGAAGCACTTATAGGAGAAAAGAATAGGGAGAAAAAATGAAATAAGTTTCTCTATAAGCTAAAATTAACTTATGCATAAGTTAATTTGTAGAAGTTTTCTCATATAACTTCTCCACAAAAATATAAATTAGCTTGTGCATAAGTTAGTTTGAACTTACAGAGAAATTTATTTTATTTTTTCCTTCCTATTTTTTTCTCACATAAGTGCTTATGTAAAAGTTTATCCAAACAGACGCATAGCTAAATTGGTATATCTCATTATTTTAGTAAATTTAATGATCCATACAATGTATGGCAATAATTTAAGTGCAGCAATCTGAGTACATCAACATTATATATCTTCATGTAATTCAAGGTAGCGGAAAGTATAATCAAGAAAATACCAATCTTTCTGAGCTTTGTTCCGGAAGGAAGACTTTGAAGAAGTCAGGGTGTTTCTTGGCACCAGTAGTCATCGAGATGGAAGTGTAGAAACTTTGATGTGTTTCAAGGTCAGGAAAGAACTGTAGAAGAAATGGTGGAATTGATTAAACTTTTGTCATGGCAATGGTTATTTTCTAAAGGGTGTGCTTAAATACTCGTTAGCTTGCTGATTCTGTGATCAAAGGATGTGTCTATCTAGAAGCTGAGTTTGAAGAATCCGTGAAGGTTTCGAAAATATTATGTACAGATGATGACAAGTTATGGGATTGGTTTGTTTTTCATCAATATGGTTGCAATTATATGTTATACTGTGATATGCTTGGTTATAGTAGTGTGGTCATTATGGCTAGAAGAAACTTTGCAGAGGTACGGTTCTGTGGAGAAAACACATTTACAGATTTACTCAATTTTCATGCTTTCTAATATGGCTTTGCGAGCTATTTATTACATGACAGCAAATATTTTATTTTTAAGTATTGGCTTGTTCTGGTACATCTTGTGGTCTTAACATGTTTGTGTTATATAAGATTTTATTTTGCCTCTTCAAAAAAAAAAAAGGGCCATCGAGCTATCCAAAATTTTTGCAAGTCCTGAAAATTTGGCACCCCTCTTTGATGCTCAAAACAATGAGATGTCCAAATAAATTGGTCAGAAAATTGAAATGCCAAAAGATATCTATATAAGTATATTTAGGCTAAGGGCTCCCTAGTTAGTTCACCATATTTAACTTACTTCTCTAATTATTAATTAAATAAGTTAGAATACACATTTTATTTATTTATTTTATCTTTACTGTATTTAAATTTTTTATCTATATAAAAGAATGTCAGTCCAACAAAAAAAAAATTAAGAACATATTATCACGCATAAATATCAAAGCAATTTAATTATTTACACACTTTATGTCAATATATGAAAAAGAGAAAAAAAAAAAAACAGATAATAACAGTTCTAACTAAATGATCCTATCAAATATCAATATAAGTAACAAAAGGATTTTATTTTTAAGCAAAAATATTATAATTTTCTTAAGCTGAACTTCTTAAAATTTCTTATAATTTGCTCTCAAACATGCACTGCTGCATCTACATTTAAAACTACTATATCATTAACCGAACAGAAAAATCAGCAATGTTTTAGTTAGAATATATATGAATCAAATGATATGAGTCACTCAATGTAAGCATCTACTATAAATTATAATGGATAGCAATTAGAAAACACTAAAAAGAATGCAAAAATTGTTAGCTTGTGAAACAAATTAAACTATAAGGTTTTCCACATAAAAAACACAAAATGGAACAAACATGGAACACCAGAAAACGCATGAAGTTGATCTGCCAAAATCAACCACCATGACTACAACAAATCTTTTCTCTGTAAAATTTTCAAATCTCATTTAACTACTCTTTCAAAACAATATTTTTTTTCCTCTTACACTCCTTGTATTTTAAAGTCATTATAATTTTTAACTCATTCTCTGTAAATTCTTTTCTCATTTTACTCTCTCATTTTTTATCTCCTTATTTAGAAACACTCATCTATGACCAAATTTAAACACAAACCAAGAAAGGAGAAATGAACTAAAACATAGAGGAGGGTGGTCAATGGTCATCATTCATCAATCATCATATATACATACATACATATACATATATATGTATATATATATATATATATATACACACACCAAATACAAGGTGTTCTATATATATGTGTGTAGTGCATAGTGGAGAGTGAGTGATGAATGATGAATATTTTAACTATAGTGGTATGAAGTGAGTGTGATAATATCCACATGGTTAATTAGTATAAACTTACTTGACTCCAAAGTTCAACCCTCTTTGTTTTCTTCTATCTTTTTGCTTTGGGTGGTGTAGTTGGTGTTTGAGGTTGTGGCTTTGGTGTTGATTTCTCAACTTTAGGATAGGATTTGAAGGTTTTATGGGAATGTCAATGATAGCTTCTATCTCTTCACAACAAACACGATGGATGCTCAACTTTCCTTTCCCTTCAACCCTCCACAGAAACTTCTCTTTAAATATCTGAGTCTCTCATCATGATTCTGTTTCTTTTCTTTTCTTTTTTCTGTCTTTGGAAATTGATCGTTGTGAAGGAATCATATCAAGATGGTGCATGCATGGTGCATGGTGCATGGTACATGTGCATGCACTAATAGTTTCAGCTCAGTGCTTAATTATGATGCTAATTGCATGTGCTGCCATTTTTATTCCCGGTACCTCACAAATTAATGATGCTAATTACAAATATGCTATTTCTGAAAAGTTTAACTGCATAAGCATCTTTCAGTTGCTATCTCTTTTCTATTTTTATAAATAACTTACGACTGACACTGAACAAAGTTGCCTAATATAGATAAATTATTATGTTGGGCTGAAATACTTTTAGGTATTTTTGGTCATTCTTTAATTAAAATTAAAATTTCATCTAGATATAATTAACTCTGATTTTTATTTCACAAGTTGTTAAAGTAAAGACATTACCTAAAATATTTAAGGTGATATAATTCTATAGGCTTCTCTATATAATTCATCTGATCACAAGCTAAATTGAATATGTTGGAATTGAAAATAGAGTGCCCCTCATATTTGAAGTTTAGAAGTCATCTCGCAAATAGAGTAGAGCACAGAAAATTCGAGCCAACCATTTGTAAATCACCACTTGTCATCAATTTCTCTCAATCTAACTAAGAAATCATCACCAATTGGAAGAACAAGATGGTCACAACAGATTTTAATTTATCCCCTTATTTTCTACCAAACATCTTTGGCATGCTCTTTGTAATTACAAAACAAAGTTAAGTTAATTATATTGTATCATTGGAATGAAAGAGGACAAGGTTTACGTGAATAAGGATCAGCAATGGTATTCAGTAATGTGAACAACTAATTTATGGAGATATGTTTTTTTAATGTTCCATCCTTATTATTTCTTTTATAGAAAGAAGGAAAAATTGCAGAAGTCATAGACTGGCAAGGAACCCTCCAAAACCAGAAATATAGGAATACATCTTTTTTCTCATTCACAAGGAAAAAAACTACTTTGGTGATTGGTCAAAGAAAGATGATGTTGTGAATTTTCTAAAAACACTATCCATTTCTTTTTTTCTTTCATTTTTTTCCAAAAAAAATTTCCTAATGTTACACTCATCCCCATCTCATTCAAAATTTCAAAAATACTCCTAATGTCATACTTGTTCCCGTCTAATTCAAAATGGTGAGTTTTTTTTTTTTTTGCTGAAATTTTTCTTCCCCTATGTTAGTTTGTTTTTTTGGAATTTAAGTTCCATAACTACATAAATTTTGCTTTCAGAATTAAATTTTACAAATTTATTTGTATCTTCTGAAATCAAACTTTTAAAAATTTATTTATATTCCAAGATTATAATTTCAGAATTCTATTTGTATGTTTTATATTGTAATTTTAGAAGTCTATTAGTTAGACATTCTAGACATATAAAATTACAAAGGTCCATTTTGTGTAGTTTCAGAAATATAATTTTGGAAAATTTCTTAAAGTTTATTTTCAAAATATACAAATAAACTCTCAGAAGTTTAATTTTTGGTGTTTCTACAGAGAGAAGTGTGATGTGTTTTAGGAAAAACGAATTTGGGAATTGATATATCAATAGGAGAAGGTTTTTTTTTTTATAAAAAAAATAGTGTGGTGTCTTAGAAAAAATAGGAGTGAGAAAAGTAAAAGAACAAGAGAACTAAGAGAAAGGAATAGCTGAACCTATATATGAAGCAAGAAAGGGTCTAGTTTAAACAGACTTTTGTTCAATTTGACACTTTCCTTTATTGCTACAAAACCAAAGCATATCTATAAATTTATATCAAACAAAATTGGAGGTTGCATGTTACATCAGTTATTAAAGCCAGACGAGAAAGAAAAAAACAAAAGAAAAAGTAAATGTGAATTAACCATCTCAATAGAAATATTCCATCTCATATAACCTCTTTTTCTACTCATACAAGGAAACTGTTTAGGTGAGATAACTTGATGAGGACATTTACCTTCCCAATCCCATGGTTTCCATGTTTGCTATCCTCTACAGTAGAAACAGTAGAATGGTAAAATATTCCCTAAAATAACAAGATAATTTATTCATATAATATTTAAATTATAAAACTTGTCACATCCAAATTATTCTTTATATACAACTAATATTGTTTCCATTTCATTTAAGAAAAACATAAATCTAATTACTATTCTATTTTAGAAGACTTACACTCATTTAAAATTATAAATTCCAGTATTCTGTTTTTTTAATTAGAACATATAAATATTTATTTCATTGCAAGTTAAATATATTTAGGTATTAACAATAAATGATAAAAATAAAAAATATAAACTATTTGAATTAAAAATCTATGTATATTTGTCCTAGTATATTTTTTAATAAAAAAATCTAATGCATATATATTATTTTTATATATACACACACATTGCATATTACAAAATAATAAGAGAATATTTGAAATTATAATTTATAATAATAAAAAATTAGCACAATTTGAAAACTAAGTATAAATATATTCGTATACAATTTGGATTTTCTTAAATAATAGAAGTATAAATTAAATATTTTATCATAATTATCTTTGAATAGTAATCATTAATATCTAAAAGTACTTTTATATTTATTAATCATGTATAGTAAGCTCTATGATAAGTTAATAATTTTTCTAACAAAATGCTATAAATTAAAGTAATAAAATGTAATAATTAAAAAATAAACTCCTATATATTAAATATAAATATCTATCTTAATAAGAACATTTTTAGAAATTTTTATTCGATGTGAAAGTTTAAAAAAAATTAACTTTTTAATTTAATTCAATTTTTATTTAT